ACTTGTGTGAACTCGAGACCCCTCAGCTGAGTAAGGCATATGTTGCAGTTCATGCACAAGGGTGTCAAGGGCAGTGTGAGTTCTATGGCCAAAGTTTGATTCAACCTTGACTTTGTAACAGTAGAATGCAGCAAAACACCATCATGTTCTCATTATGGAAAGGAGATTTTGAAAACCCTAGGAGGCTTGTTCACGCTAATCCTGGAGTTGATTCGGAGGAGCTGTAGGGTCAAGTTTTGTGGAGCACAGTCCCAGATCCTGCCAATGCCTCTCACCAGATGCGTGTCTGCTCTTGCACACATAGCGCAACTTCTCTCTGTTTCTGTTTGTACAGTTTCATCTGTAAAATATCATGACCTATAAACTCCCTCATGGCTCTCACCTCTTCCTTGGGCTCTGCCCTTTCCTCAGGTGTCCCACCCCAGAGCTTGCTATATAGCAGGGGAAATGCAAATAGGGCCCTCCCTCTGCTGATGAAAAGCAGCCCAGTGTTCACCCTGCAGCTCTGGGAGAGGAGCCCCAGCCCTGACATTCAAAGGTGTCCCCATTCTGTGATCAGGACTGAACACAGAGACTCACCATGGAGTCTTGGCTGAGCTGGGTTTTCCTTGTTGCTCTGTTACAAGGTAATTCATAGAGAACAAGAGACATTGAGTGTGTGAGTGGATATTAGTGAGAGAAACAGCGGGGGTGTGTGGCAGTTTCTGACCAAGATGTGTCTGTGTTTGCAGGTGTCCAGTGTGAGGTGCAGCTGGTGGAGTCTGGGGGAGGCTTGGTCCAGCCTGGGGGGTCCCTGAGGCTCTCCTGTGCAGCCTCCGGATTCACCTTCAGCAGCTATGCCATGAGCTGGGTCCGCCAGGCTCCAGGGAAGGGGCTGGAGTGGGTTGCTTTTATTAGAACCAAGGCTTATGGTGGCACAGCAGAATATGCCGCATCTGTGAAAGGCAGATTCACCATCTCACGAGATGATTCCAAAAGCACCGCATATCTGCAAATGAACAGTCTGCGAGCTGAGGACACAGCCTTGTACTACTGTGCGAGAGACACAGTGAGAGGACTTCAGTGTGAGCCCAGACATAAACCTCCTGTGGGGCCCATGTGGGTCACCAGGGGGCGACCAGGACCCACTTAGCACAGAGCCGCCCAGTGAGGGTGCAGGTGGAGGTTAGCAGCTAATTACTATTGGTGTGTGGCCTTCTTCTCCATCTAATTTTCCCCAAGGGACCTCTCTAGAGTTAGAATTCTGTACTGACATTTGCCATCTGTAAATACAAATCTTTGTTTCTTTGTCTTATAAGAGGAAGACACACTCTCACCTGTGCAAATGTCACACTGTCACTTTAGGGGCCAAAGTGCTCCTGCAGTTGTAACCAGGAACAGAGTCCTCAAAATAAAATCTATCACATCCTTTGTTAATCACGCTGTGACTTAACCAACACAAAACTGAAATGAAAGTAATTATACGATCAGTTCATTAAAACTTCACCATTTTACTGGGACTTCCATCACTGTCATCATCATCTTCATTATCTTGTCAAAATCAACCTACATGCTCCTGCAATGAGAACACTTTCCCCCATTGTTGAATAAGATCTTTGAATTGAAAAGCACATCCCCTGGGAAAGGGTCCCTTAGTTTGGACTGGTCAATGAGTGACCTACTGTCTAATAGCAGAGAATTAAATGACACTATTACCTTTGGTTTCCAGTGAAACTTTATGCCCTCTCAACATTCATTTGTTGAGGGTCTGGGACAAGCTTAAATAGTATTTAGTCTATCAGGACATAGTATTTCCCTTCTTAGAGTAGCATGTCTTAAATAATCTCTATTTTGACAATTGTCTAGGGACCATTCCTACATCAGATTCCTTTGTGACCCAATTTCCTGTGTGACAAACAAATCATTGTGAGGTTTCTTGACTACCCTGAATTGAGAATGATTTTCCACCATCACAACCTCAGTGTAAATGAAAATGTCCTAGAATGAGCTTTCATCCTCATACTGGTACATGATGTCCCTCCATGGGTTCTTCCCTTGGACAAGCACTCACATCCTCATGATCTTTCTCCAGGGTCTTTGCCCCTCAGGGGTCCCTGTCCTTTCTGGGGCAGTTTAGCCCCCGACCCTCATCCACCCTGTGGATGCTGATGTGTGTGGCCTGACACAGCCTGTGTCTGTCCCTCTGTGTCCTGAATGGTGATACAGCCCACTTGAGAGATGAGAGAAGACCTCATGCATCCCTGTGTAGGGAACAGGAATACAGGAACACAGGAGAAAACCCTTCTATATTAATAATTAATTTTATCAGTTGGTGTGCACAGACTTTTTTCTAATTTAAGCTGGATCCTCAGGATACACCACCACAAGACACACCAGTTTTACTTACATTTATTAAGGGAGAAGAGAACAAGAGAGAAAGTAAGAGAAAAGTACCGCAGGGGAAGAACACAAAAGAGTAATCATACCACTAGGATCCCATTATCAGCACTGGAGGCTTATCATCACGGGTAATCTCAATTCTCACGGGATGTCTCTCTGGCAGTAGTGAAGGCAACACGCTGGGATATCAAGCAGATAGGCAGCGGCACGGAGATGTTAGAGAAGCAGCAGCGAAGAAGCGTCTGAGAAGTGGCTGAAAAGTGACGGCTTTCAGCCGTCACTTGGCGGCTTTCTGATATTGTTTATATAGTGGTTTGAACAAAGGAAGGCTTGGTGCCAAAAAGTCATATGCTCTGGTCACTGAGGTCTCGGATCTGGCCAGGAACTGGGGCCTGGAGTGACTGGTCTCACATATCAGTTCCGGGCATGAGCCTAGGGTAAACATCCCTGGACAGCCCAGGATAAACATCTCCAGGCACATAGCTCAGAGCTGTCAATTCCCCTTTCCTCAAGAAGTGGCCAACTTGTCCAGGAAATGGGTGCATACCTCAAGCCTTATAAATTTATGTGACCCCAAGCAGGCCTTAATATTCTGTACCTCAGTACACCTTCACATCCCTGCTGGGTCATGTTCTGTGTGGGGTCTGTGAAAGTAGTCCTGGGGTCCATGTCAGAAGACATGTCTTTCAGCTTCCATATGAAGAACCCATAGAAAGACCAATAAGAAGTTCCTGCATGCTGGCATTCTAAACTGTGTGCTTAGCTCCTGTGAGCAATGCAGACATTTTCTCTCTTCTGAAAAGTAAGTATGGTAGTAATTTTACTAAATACAATTAAATGT